ATATTACTTACTTAAGTCTTTAATAACGTAAGGACTTTCTGTAACATTTGTCTGTTGGTATTTCTGGTTTGAATCGACCCTTCTCCAAAATATTATGAAATGTAAGTCATCGCCGTTTCTGTATTTTGGCGCTTCCCATGATACATTTAATGTGTTTCGCTTGACAATTACCCTCACTTTTCTAGGTCGGCTTGGAACTAAAATGAAGAATATTTTTACTAACATGACAAATCAAAATGTGTATTTTTAAGAACATTTTACAGGTTGGGTTCGGTTCCAATATTTTTCTGTCGAATATTTTCGCTATAACCAATCACATTGCATATACCGCATTCATGTTTTCGATCAGTTCTAGTGGAAATCACGCCTAACCCACGTTAAAATACGTTGCGACTTAAATATTGTGACTTATAGGTTGCGACTTAAGCTATGTTTACACGCTGCGATTAATCGTGTACGATTCGTTTCTGGCGTATGTGATTGAGACTGTTGAGTAAACAAGCGTAAGCTGGCCACATTTGAAATTTCTTTTTAACGAAACGGCAATGAATTATAACGCCAACACTCATTTTAATACGCCAGAATATGATTGAATCGTACACGACGAATCGTGGCGTGTAAACGTAGCTTTACGTTGCTACTTAGGTTGCGACTTATTACTCTCGGTTAGTCGCGTGAAAAACGCAAGCTGCTTTGTCTTCTCAAGTATGTTTACTGTCAACAACACGATGTTGGATTGCTAGCAAGTGATTATTTTTCTACAAACATAGTGGTCCTATAGATGAATGAATTAAGATTATAATTTCCGAAGTATTTTGATTTTTAGTAATGATTTTTGTTGACTTTTTTTTAAACATTTTTTATAACAAAATGTATCAGATTTTTGCGAGATTCTTTCACCAGTGCAAAAGAAAGAAGAAAGTACTGGGAACGAGTTAAGCGGTTCTGCTTCAGGGCAACAAGTCACAAATGCAACAGCCAATTTCTTTTTTCTAATTACCTTTTTGTAGCTAACAAGCAAAACAAACGAGGTAACATATGTTTCTGAAAGTTAAATATTCTCCAGAATGGCGAAACGCAAAAATGTGATTACGCAATTTGTGCAGAAACTGTAGATTTCAAAATTTTTCTGGCACCATGCCCTCGGAACCTTCCACAACAAAACAAATTTTCTGCCGCCTACGATGGATCTATAAAATTCATGTCATTTTTCTTGCGCAATGCTAGTGATTTGTTTAAGGTTTAGAAAAGGTAAACATGAAAACGTGGTATCGCATTTTTAACTCCAAACACAACACATGTCAAATTTATATGCTACACTGTACAGTATACAGGGAGTCCCCCTATAGAAACTAAATCACACTTTTGTTGATAAACGTGCGTTTTTATACCTCTGGGAATTTAAAATAACTTCTAAAACGAAAAGCAATACAAAAATGTTAAATTTCAAATTCGTCTTACCGTCATTTCGAGTAGGAATGGTTCAACTGACTACAGAGCAACGAGTATTTGTCGTAACAACTGATACGTTAACGTAAAATGTAACCGAAGTGTTAAATTATTTGGACAAATGGAAATTGTACAATCAAATTAAATTCAGCCGTTCATCAACAATTAAATAAAATTCCCACACTTTTTTGGGGACACCATGTATAGTTTCTAATGGCAACGTTTAACTGCAATGTTCTTTTGCGGCATAACATAATTGTATACGATGAAAACAACATGATGTGAACTGGGAATAACAAACCAACTGATAGCAGAATATAATTGCCACAGTGTTAAATAAGATAAACGTAACTATTCAGGTTATAATAATTGTTTCCTGTATGTACAGTACATACGCAGAACCTCAGTTTAGCAGATGTCACGTGACTAACCAGAACTAGCAAGTCGCAACGTAAGTCGCCACACAAGTCGCCACATAAGTCGCAAATTTATTCGCAACCTAGGTCCTAACGTATGTCACAACGTATATAATAAGGGGAACAATAAAAAAGTAGAAGAAACAGCAAAATATTGCACTCCCGACATACACACGTAAAAACGCGCAACTTGTAACAGGTCTGCCAACAAGCCGTCAACAAGATGTATTCGCACTGCTTGTCACATGTTGTCAACAGGTTTGGAACAACTTGTTGACAACTTGTAACAACCTTGTGAAATTATCAGACTTGTTGCAAGGTTGTTCTGACAAGTCTGTGACATGCTTGATATAACAAGATTGTTACAACCTTGTGTTGACAACATTGCAACATCCTTGTTATATCATGCTGTAACAAACTTGTTAGCACAATCTTGTAACAAGGCTGATAATGCCATCAAGCTTGTTACAAGTTGTCATGGTAACAGCTTGTTTCAAACATGTTACAACAAACTGGGAACAAGCAGTGCGAAGACAACTTGTTGACAGCTTGTGAACAGACTTGTAACAACTTGTTTGCGGACTTGGTACAACTTGTGCGTTTTTACGTGTGTATGCTTACGATTGTAAATTCGTGACATTCCTAGGAAATTGACCCTCTGACCCCTGGTGTCCACGAGGGGAATTCCAGACTCTGTTTAGCATGAATTCATATGCTCCTATATCTTCCTACTCTCGCATGTCCAATACCTATGCAAGATGTCCAATGGAATAATCAAAAGGCCATTGGACATTCCATTTGTCAAATGGATCAAATGGACCTCCAATTTTCCATTGGACTTTTGCGTGTCCATTGGATCCAATGGACAAATGGAATGTCCATT